CCCTACCTGTGTGCGAACGCGCTGGAGCCTGACACAGCAGCACAAAGTGTGTGTGTGGGGCAGACTGGTGGGACAGGCGGGCTCAGGGGGACCCCAACACATCAGGTGGCACCCCGCAAAGGGGGGTCCAACCCGTCACAGGGGGTGTGTTGGGATCACCTGCTAACATTAACCAAGCCTGGTAAAGATAAGAGTGTGTTTGTGATTACTGCTGGCAGGCTGTTGGATTCAAAGTGGTTGACTCAGAGCTGTACAGCATACAGAACACAGAGTGCATGCTGGCTGCTGAGTGTGCGCATGAACCAGGCAGGGAGCCACAAGCAACAGAAGCATTTTGGGGACTCAGGATTATAAGATAAGCAGTGACAACATCTCCTTGTTTTGAATTGCACCCCGGAACGAGACAGCATCATCCCAGCTTTCTGACCAATATTTTGGTCTACGCTGCCTGGATGCTGAAAATTCCATGGCCCTGCTTGTCAGGAGAGAAGTTTGCCTCGGTGATGCTGGCCAGAAATTCTCTTCCACCTACTGTTGTGCAGTGTATTAGTCTCCCTGCCTGTTGCCCTCTGCCCTACAGATGGCCACTTTACCTGGTGGTGCTGTAGCTATCTGGAGTTTATTAATTTTTTGGGCTCTCCTGAGAAGAAAAACTGTCAGATATTTTACGTAGAGTAACTTCCCTACATTATGTTCACTTTCAACAATGTGAGGCCTCTAATAAGGCTAGCAAGACAAGGAAGGCTGAACATTTAAGTGGCTTTGAACATAGGATGAACCAATCATCTTAATTGTTACTTTGATGTGTCAGCCTTCTTTTTTAAAAACAAAATCTTCCTTAAGGAGAAACTGGACTAGAAATTTGTGGAGGAAGGGGTTCCAAGGAGAGCTCTGGGTAAATGATCAGGGGTATCTAAGAGATGCAAAGTGCAGGAGTTTATAATGTGGTAATATACCATACTAAACTAGATGGACCACTAGATTCTACACTAAAATGCTTTAACTTAATTCCAAGAGATTATACCAGATAGTACAACCAATGCTAGATTATATCCGCCAATTATTTGCAATGGCATGAAATAGTATATTCTCTGAATCACGTATAAGATCACAAATGCATGCTAACAACATTCAGGCCCCAAAGAGCTCATCTAAATAGACCTATATAGCCAAGAATGGGTTAAGTGCAAGTGCTAGCAGTACTTGTAGAGGAGTAGTATGCAAAGCGGTTGAAGAGCAAGGTAAATGCTATGGACTCCCTCACTTACACATTCCAACCAATAGTATCAGATGCTCCTTCTCCAATAAATCCTACCATTGAACTAAATTACATCAGGGAGTCTCCTCAAAACAATGCAGTAAATATGTGGTTACATTGCCACTGCATGGTAAGGTGAAAAAGGACCCATGATTTTCACAACACGAGCAGAGTCAAGGTGGGATATAAATGCACATAAACATTACTGGAGCAGTATTCCTCATTCATTCACTGAATAGTTTATAGCACTGCTGGTGGGCTACTGTTCTTTTTCGGAACTCCGCAGGGTTTGGGGGCTTTACCTCTCTAAGCAGAATGAAAATGGACAGATTATTCAAAATGAGCATGGGTGAGGTACTTTCAGAGCAAGGAATTGAAACAGGGCCTTGAGTAAAGCTACGGTACATTTTGCACATGCTTGCCCTGAGACGCCTAGCTGGGTAATCTCACTCACTCCTGTGTCCCTCCCATAACTGGGGACATGTTTGGTAAGAAGAGCTATCAAGTAGAAAAATCAAATACCAAGGATGCAGTTTGCAGCCATGATTCATTCACCGACCCCAGGATATAGGAAAGAAATTCAAAACTGCTTCTGTGTTTAGTTTGATCATAACAATATTTCACCCAGTTCAGTCTGCTTCCTGTTATTACCAAATAACTGCAACTTCAGTGTCCCTAAGCAATGAAGAAGGAGTGAGAGCATTCAGATATTGCTGATATCAGTCCTTAGTATTGCAGTAATAAACTACAGCACCCTGCCAATAACTTGCTCTTGTACACCTGGATCTGCATTCAGTTCCTTTTGCCACTTTCTATCCAACTGCTGCTTACTTTCTGGCTAGTAGAAAGCTACAGCAGGTCTTCTCTCTCTTCATCCGTTTAGAATATCATCTATCAATACTCAGAAATTACAGTCTCCACTGACACTCCAGACAGAGAAGGTGAAGCGCACACTCGGTGAGGGAAGCTATCAAGCTTTTTAGTGCTAAAAAATCCATTAAAATAAGTCAGATGTGTGACTGGGATGGAGGAAAGAAATTAAAGCACATTTTTAATGTCTTCCTTCCCGCCCCTTTCTTCTCATCATTCATGCAACAGCAACTCCCTCTCCATTTTGGGGGGGGACAGCTACAGCTGAGCGAGAAAGCATTTAAAAACACACTGCATCAGAATAATACATCCACACCAAGAGTTACAGGTGATGTTTCTTCATTTATGTCATAGCAGCTTTAGCTACTGCACTCCCTCTGCAATCAAGCAGAGAAGCTATTGAGACTCGCTCATCTGATGGTAAAGACTACAGCAGGAATCAGCACACTAGAACAGCAGTTCTCAACTAGGGGCCAGGGGTCCCCCTAGGGAGCCGTGAGCAGGTTTCAGGGTGTCCCCCAAAATAAGCCAGAGAGCAGGGCAAAAAGCAGAAGCCTGAGTCCCACCGCCAATGGCTGAAAGCCAAGGCCGGAGCAACTTAGCTTCATGGGGTCCCCTGTGGTATGGGGCTCTAGGCAATTGCCCTGCTTGCTACCCCCTGGCTTTTAATCTACTGGATTTGCAGAAAAAAACAGTTGCTGTGGCGCAGGTGGGCCATGGAATTTTTATAGCATGTTGGGGGGGGGAGGGGGCGCCTCAGAAAGAGAAAGGTTGAGAATCCTTGCACTAGAAAACCAGAAGGCAAAAGTTACTGGAGTACCTTTCATCCTGCTAATCAACATCTCATTTACAAGGAGACAAGCTTTCTCTGTCCACTGATTTCCTAGCTTTTGGATGATTATCCTCATTTTTGTGTGAGGGAGATTTATCACTCCACATTCCAGACTGTTTTCAAAATGTTCAGAAAGCTCATATTTCTTGGGTAATTGGATCTACGTTCCCTCCTGGTAATCATTAGTAGCGAGGTCTTCTTTTTTAGCCTCCGACTGGAAGTTACCCTGCTGTTAATTTTCACTTCTGAAAAAAGTATCCTTTATAACTTCACATACACTGTCTTCATGAACACAGGAGTGCCTCTCAAACCCCCTACTTGAAACTATGGCCTTGGCTACACTTGCAGCTGTACAGTGCTGTGAGGTAAACCTGTCTTCGTACAGTTGAGTAGGGAAAGTGCTGCAATCTGTCCACACTGACAGCGCAGTGGCGTGGCCACACTTGCAACATTTGCAGCTGTGTTGGGAGCGGTGCATTATGGGCAGCTATCCCAGCATTCATGTGGCTGCAAAGTGCTATTCAAACCGGGATGGGGTGGGGTGGGGTGGGGTGGGGGGGGAGAGTGTGACAGGGAGTGTGTGTGTGGGGGGGGGGAGGTGCTTTTTGGAGCGTGTCAGCACTCTATTTTGCAAGTTCCAGACTCCCGGCCCCCTGCTCATTCATTCACTCAAAGCACACAGCAAACTGCTTGCTTTTTCTCTGTGGTACAAGCTTTGAAACCGGCACTTCCGCATTCCTGCAGCTGGTCACAACAATGGAGAGGATTGGCCACTTGACAAGATGTACACTTGACAGTACAGCGCTGCAGGTTGATTCCTGGTACAGACTCACAGGGGAGAGTCGTAGCCACTCTTCTGTCTCTCTTATGCTTCTCGGAGAGGTGGAGTACCTGCAGTGGTGCACCCAGGGAGATACAAGTGCCCTGCCAGTGTGGACGGGGAGTGAGTTACAGAGCTGGGGGAGGCTTTACAGCACTGTAACTCGCAAGTGTAGCCAAGGCTTATGTCAGTATGAGCTGTTAATACACAACTCTGGAGTTTTACTGAAGTGCCACAGTATACGAAGCAATCACCTATTTAGCATTACATAGCAATATGTTGCAATTATTACTAGCCATTTTAATAGAGAGGCCTGTGTTTGCTGTGGATAATCTTTATAGCTACTGATGTGATAAGACATTAACTACTGTTTTGTTTTCCCCTTGAAAACCCATCTTCACTACAGATTGAAGAGATCTCAAGACGCATAATGGAGAAGCGGGTGGGATTATCAGTGTATGCATCAGGGGAAAAAACCACAGGAGCGTATCACACCCTGCTGGAGCTCTCAGATTCCCTCAGGTCTGAATCTCTCAGTCAAGAGCAGCAGTTTGCAGTAAAGCCCCATTTCAAAATGGCCACTTTGAGCCAATTGCATTTTCCTCTGTGTCGTTAACACATTAAAGCACCACTGCTCTCTTTCACACCTGACAGGTAGCCAGACTTAAAAGATTTGATCACTCCTACAGAGGGAAAAGACACAAAAACAGAACATTTCCTTTGCCCTTTGAGAAGCTTCCACTTGTGCCCTCTACTCCCAAGAGCTGAGGCAGACAATGGCTCACATCAGACTGGAGGTTATCTGCCAAATGGCCTGGTGCCCGGTTCACATTCCAACCAGAGAGGGTTCCCTGAAGTTTTCACTATTCTTCTTTTATCCTTCCTGCCTTCTATGGACTTTCCCAGTCTGCACAGTTTTACTTTCCATTCCTCCCCACAAGACCCCAAACAAGGCATTTTGCTTCTGCAGTATGACCCTGCTGCTTTTCTGACTGAGCTGGTTATCCAAGAGGTCATCTCTCCTTTACTGAATCAGCAGTGTTTTCCCCGCCCTCCACTGTGTCCAGGAAAGGTGTGCATTTGTCATGGCCTTAACAGATCATAAGGAGATCATTCCTTATTTCCCCAACACCCTCCAAAACCTACACACCCACCCACACAGAGTCTAGAGGCTCGGTTGGAGCAGTCCAAACAGTGAACACATGCAGGCTGTCACTTACGTATTGCACACTGCCATGGTCTGACACGACTCTCCTGTGCAAAATTCTGAGATTGTACTATACTGTAAATTGATATGGTGGAAGAAGGTCGTTGCTGAAAAAGAAAGACAGGAAAAATAAATATTTTAAAGATGCAAGCTATTTATCAGAACACTGACAGGTAATCCACAAATTAACAGGTAAAGTAGCCTAACACTCCTGAACTTGGGGGTCTTAATGTTACAGTGTACAGACTTAAAATCAGAGTTCAAAACCTGCTCAAGATACAAATGTGAGTGTGGTGTCTGACTAAACCTGAATGACCATTTGTACACCTAACAAAACCAGCATGCAGTTTAGATTAATCTCTCATAATTAGCATGCACTGCTAAGAAATAAACGTGATTGGGTGTGACTGAAGGTTAGGACTGGCAGAGCTATATGAGTAGCAGCAGGTGATGTTGCAGGTCAGAATAGAGATGCAGTGGGGAATGTACATAGCATATAATCAGGGCCAGCTTTATTCCAATTCAACCAATTCCCCTGAATCAGGCCCTGCGCCTAAGAGGACCCTGCGCCCAAGCCCCGGTACGATGTACCGGCAAGAGCCAGTGTGCCGTACCGGGGTGGCCTAGGTTCCCCAGGGGGCAATTTAAAGGGCCCAGGCCCTTTAAATTGCCACCAGAGCCCCACTGCTGGAGCCCTGGGTTAGGGCTCTGGGGGCTATTTAAAAAGTCCGGGGCTCCTGCTGCCTCTACCGCCCCGGCCCTTTAAATAGCCACCGGAGCCCCGCTGCTTCCCCAGGGCTCCCACGGCTATTTAAAGGGCCAGGGCTCCATCTGCCTCTGCTGCACCCCCTGCCCGTACCAGCCCCGCAACCCGCCCTGCCCACAGCCAGCCCTGCACCCCCTGCCTGCAGCCAGCCCCTGCTGCACCCCCTACCCTACTTCCAGCCCCGCACCCCCTGTCCTGCCCGCAGCCAGCCCTGTACCCCCTGCCCACAGCCAGCCCCTGCCGCAGCCTCTATCCTGTCTCCAGCCAACCCCTGCTGCACCCCGCTGCGGCCCTGCCCGAA